TTTTTTTTTTTTGGTACCAGGGATTGAACATGGGACCTTGTGCTTGCAAGGCAAGCGGCAGAACCACTGAGCTAAATCCCCAGCCCAGAAGAGCATACTTCTTGAGCCGGGGGATCAAGAAGGGTCGATCACTTGTGATTGAGTGAGCAATGTTCAGGGCCCACAGTGCTGGGCACAGAATCTTGGAAGAGCCAGTGCTCCTAACCTAGTGATTCCAGCCCTGGGGAGATTCTGCCCCTGCTTCACATCTCACTAACTCTTTTCCCTCAGTCTCGGCACCAGCGGGAGGCAGCCATAGCTCAACTGCAGCAGCTACATCAGGAGGTTGAGCGACAGGAAGAAGTGCTCGCTGTGGGAGCCCAGGAAAAGGAGGCCCTGGTTCGGGAGAGGGCAGCTCTCGAGGTGCGGCTTCAGGCTGTGGAACGGGACCGCCAGGACCTCTCTGAACAACTTCTGGGGCTCAGGTAAGGCCTGGACTCATTTCAGTCAAGCACAGAGAGAACTTTGCAAGGCAAGGGGTAGTCAAGCCAAGCTCTCTGCACTGGTGAGTTCTCATTGAGTTATGAATTTATAATCGCCCCTAACTTCTCCAGGTAGCCAGTACTTAGAACCCAACACCTCTTAAGGAAGAGGAAGGGACTTGATAGGTAAGATCTCTTACTGATTCCTGAACCTCACAGCTCAGCCAAGGAGCAACTAGAGAGCAGTCTGTTTGAGGCCCAGCAACAAAATTCTGTGATAGAGGTCACCAAGGGGCAACTGGAGGTCCAGATTCAAACTGTCACCCAAGCCAAGGAAGTAATCCAAGGTGAGAACCCAGCTGGGAGACGACATGCTGCATTCTGTGGGATGTTCCTAACCTGGAAGGTAGTGGGAGGTTATTAGAGCTTCTCCAGCCAGGCCCTGGAAGTGGGAATTGCCTGTGAAGGAAGCAGGAGACCATTATTAGGTAAAAGACAGACAGAGGCTCAGAGAGCTGTTCCTGTCCCTGCATCCTAGGGGAGGTGAGATGCCTGAAGCAGGAACTGGACACTGAAAGGAGCCGGGCAGAGCAGGAGCGGGATGCAGCAGCCAGACAGCTGGCCCAGGCAGAGCAAGAGTGGCGGGCAGCCCTGGAGCAGCAGAAAGCAGCCCACCAGGAGGAAGCAAACCAGCTCCAAGAGAAATGGGTAAGGCAGTGGATATGGCTGGGGGGTGGCAGAAGCAGACCTGGCCTCCTTTCAGTGAGTATGCCTCCTTCTGACTCTTGGTACAGATACTGCTGCTCAGAAGGGTAGTTATGTCACCAAGGTGTAAAATCCAACTTCTAGCTGGGTGGGATGGCACACGCATCTTATCACAGCACTGGTGAGGCTGAGGCAGGAAGATCACTATGAGTTTGAGGCCAGTCTGGGCTACATAATGAGTTCAGTCCAACCCGGACAACATAAGAGACACTGTCTCAGAAATAAATAGGGAGCTGGGAATTTAGCTCAGTGGCTCCGGTACCTGCCCCTGCCTCAGAAATAAAAAAACAAAAATGCAGTTCTAGCTTTTTCTTTTTTATGAGACTGTGAATTGAACCTACGGGCCTTGTACTAAGCTATATCCCAAACTACCACCACTACCACCTTTCCTTTTTTTTTTTTTTAATTTGAGACAGCCTCTCACTAAGTTGGTGGGCTCAAATTTGCAATCCTCCTGCCTCAACCTCCCAGCACACTTGGATTATAGGCATGCACCACCACACCCAGCTACCTTCTAGCTATTAAATGAGTTAATATATGCACTAAGAATAGTTTCTGGTAGAAGCCAGGCACAGTGGTGCATACCTGTAACCCCAAAATAAAATAACAATGGCTAGGGATGTAGTTCAGCGATCGAATGCCCCTGGGTTTCATCCCCAATTAAAAAAAAATAGTTTCTTTTCATGAATGAGCTCTATATTTGTGTTAATCATCATTATTGGGATGTGTGTGTGGAAAGAGAAGGAAAATTAAGTGGCCCATGATAAGATGCTCTTGGGAAAAAATAAAAAGAGTGGCCCCTGGAATTAAGGGTTATTAAACTGGTCAGGACAAAATTATATTTTATTGTCTTGTTTTTTTTGTTTGTTTGTTTGTTTTTGGTACCGGGGATTGAACTCGGGTCCTTGCACTTGTGAGGCAGGCAGCAGAACCACTGAGCTAAATCCCCAGCCCTTGTCTTGTATAGTTTAACTAAATTGCCCAAGTGAGGCTTGAACTCATTGTCTTCCTTCCTCAGTCTCCCAAATAGGTGGGATTATAGGTGAGCTCCATCATGCTCAGCTAGAGTAGGGATTATTAAACCTCCCTTTAGGGATGAGGAAACAGGAAGTACCCAGGTGGCACAGCTTGAGAGTAACAGAAAGATTCTCATTCCACACCAGTTCTCTTTCTGCTGTTTCTCCTCACCCACTGGATTCTAACAGTGTTTCTTTCATGTGGCCAGGAAAAAGAGCACTCCCAGCACCAGCAAGAACTAGACAAGGCTCTGGAAAGCCTAGAGAGGGAAAAGATGGAGCTGGAAATGAGGCTGAGGGAGCAGCAGACAGAAACGGAGTCCATCCAGGCCCAGAGAGAAGAGGAACGGACCCAGGCTGACAGTGTGCTCTGCCAGGTAGGAAGATAGGCCTGGAGCATTTCATTCATTGGTGATCCCCTGATCTTTGACCACTTTGTTTTCTTTTTTCTTTCTTTTTTTTTTTGTGGTTCCGGGGATCAAACTAGGGACCTTGAATGGAACCAGTGAGCTAAATCCCTGGCCCTTTTGACCACTTCTTTTTCCATTCCTAAGCATGGGCTGTAGAAGGGCTTTCCAGGAGTATATGTACGTTACCACCAATGAGTGGCGATCCACACTGTTAGCTGCAGGGCCGGCAGTGTGTCATACTTCCTGAAGGAGTGCTGACACTTACCACATCCTGTCAGCTTGAAGACCAGCGGCAATCTTGCACTTCCTGGTCCTCGGTCTGGGGACTCAGACTTTCTCTTTTCTGGAAGAGCCCTAAAACACCTGGGATGTGCTTATGACCTCCTGGTGAGCATGATTTCCCTGAGCCCACAAGCCCTTGCCCCTCCTGTCCCTGCGCAGATGCAGCTGGAAACAGAGAAAGAGAGAGTGTCCCTCCTGGAGACACTGCTACAAACCCAGAAGGAACTGGCAGATGCCAGCCAACAGCTGGAACGACTGAGACAGGACATGAAGGCTCAGAAGTTAAGGGAGCAGGTATGGAGGGTAGGCCTGGACGTTTGTTCTCCCATTCAACAGTGAAGAGTTCTTTGGCACATTTTTTTTTTCATTAAGTTTGTTGGTACATTTTAGGTGAACATTATGATCACATTCATCATTGGGATTTTGTATCTGTACATCCCTTCCACTCCTCCCTATTTACAAAAGCTTTGTTTCCTTTGTTTCCTTCTTTGCTCATTTTTTTCTTTCCCTTGTTTCCTTTCCCCCACCCCGCTCCCTAGTTTCCCTTCTCCTTTGAACCTTTTCTTCCTATTTCATATTACATATTTAAAACATTTTTAAATTTTTTATTTTATCCCACTCTCCCCATTTCACATTATGTATTATACATTTTGGTCCTCATTTACACTTTCAGTTTTTTATACCAGAGAAACAATTCAGTATTTACACATGTGTCCTATTTATTTCCCTTAAGAGTCTGGCCTCAAGGTGCATCCACTGAGCTGTACATGTCTCTAGTTAATCATTCTTTAGGGCTGAGTAGCATCTTTGGCACTTCTTATGCATTAGGCCTCGTGCTTTAGGTGCTGACACATGACAAGTTCATAAAGGTGTGGCCCAATAATGTGACATGGTGTCTGTCCTCAGGGAATTTCCATTCTGGTGGCAGAGATAGATGACAAAGGAGGTGACATAAATAAATGAGATGATTACAGATTGTAATAAGTTTTGTAAAGGAAAGAAATAGGGTGGGCTGGGGATTTAGCTCAGTGGTTCTGCCTCCTGCCTTGCAAGAGCAAGGACCCGAGTTCAATCCCCGGTACCAAAAAAAAAAAAAAGGAAAGAAATAGGGTGATGCCATTGAGAGAATTCAAGGCAAGTTAGCCAGGGAAGGCCTTGCAGAGAAAGGGACATTTGAGCTGAGACTTGAAGGTTAAAAAGAAGCCATCCCACTGGGCGTAGTAGCACATGCCTGTAATTCTAGCACTTGGGAGGCTGAGGCAAGAGAATCAGTGCATGTATGGGGCCGACCTGGGCTACATAGTGAGTTCAAGGTCAGTTTAAACTACATAGTGAGACCCTGTCTCAGAAAACAAAATAAACAAGCATACAAAGAAGATACAGCATAGATGAACCTAACAAACATGCCAAGTAAAAGAAGCCAGACATAAGAGGCCACTAGAGGCAAATGTATAGAGGTAGAATGCAGATTGGTGGTTGGGTTGGTGTGGGGAATGGGGAGTGGTTACTAATAGAGTGCTTCTAGGGTTACGGTAATGTTCTAAAACCGATTTTGATAGTTGTAGAATTTGATAGTTGGGAATATACTAAGAACCACTGAATTCTATACTTAGTGTAGGCCAGTGGTAGCAGACCTATAGCACACATGCCACAGTGGGCTGTTTGGATCATTGAAAGCTCTAAAATGTTTGCCCTCACTGCTATAGGTGAATTATGTGGTGAATGAATTATGTTTCAATAAACCCTTTAGCTGGATGTGGTGACACATGCCCATAATCCCAGAACTTGGGAGACTGAGGCAGGAGGATCCTGAGAAAAGTCACACCCGAGCTAATGATGTGTTCAAGACCAGCCTGAACTACATAGTGAGACCTTGTCTCAAAAACAAAAATCTTTAAGAAGAAAATCTTTTTAAAAAATAAAGAAAAAGCAGCAGCTAGGAATACATCGGGCAGAGGATTTAGCTATCAAGGGGCCAGGACAGAAAGAAGTTTGGGAAGGTCAAGGACAAAAAGAGAAGTGTGGCTTGGTGCATGTGGAAAGGTAGGCGGGAGCCCTTCCTTAGCCATAATAGGAGTTTAAATTTTGTTCTAAGGGCTGTGGGAAACTTGGATGGTATTTGAAAAGCAAATGTGGGACATGATGTTATATATTCTAATTTTTATGAACATACATTTTTTTTCTTTTGTGGATACATGCTACCACTGAGCTACATTTGTTTGTTTGTTTGTTTTGATACCAGGATCAAACTCTAGACCTTGCATTTGTGAGGCAGGTGGCATCTACACTGTTTTTTATACGCACACATACCTCGGTTCATGATTCAGTTTTCTCCATGATTCTGGTTGCAAGTCAAACTGGATGAGAACCAAATCAAATTTCCCCATAAGGTCAACATTGAACCTAACCATTGAATTTTATTTGGTTCTCATCCAACTTGGTTTGAGACCAGAATCATGGAAAGACTCAAGTTCGTTAACCAAGGTACCACTGTATATAACTTAGCTGCTGAGCAGAGAACATTGTGTTTGGGGTGAGAGGGCTGGCATCAGGTGGAAGTAGGGATGTGGTCAGGAGGCTGTTGGGTAGTCCAGTGAGAAAGTATTATCAACTCATGGACCCTGACCAGGAAACCTGGGGGAGCCTGTGCACTTTATAAGGAGGGAAAGGGAATAAGAAGGGAGAAGTTGAGGTGGAAAAAAGATGGCTTACTGGCTTCTGCCACAGTTTTTGACAACCCAACAGAAGAGACCCAGGCCCAAGCGGAAGCTTTCCCACATTCACTCGTCTTCTTACCTCTGCAGGAGACCACTGGGGTACTGCAGACCCAGCTCCAAGAGGCCCAGAGGCAACTGAAGGAGACAGATCAGCAGCACAGAGAGGACCTTGTTGCCCTCCGAGAAGAGAGCCACTCCCTGCTACAGGACAAGATAGATCTGCAGAAGCAGGTCCCCTCCTCCTCCCCACCCTGCCTCAAAGCCCATCTTGGTAAAGCCAGGTCTTCCCATGCCCATATCCACAGGTCACAGAGCTGAGGCCCTACTGCCTGAGCTCAGGAGGGGAAAATATACCGGAGAGAACATGGGCCTCTCAGAGTCCTTCCATTGGCCCTCTGTATCTACGCGTTCCACTCCACGGTTTAAGTAATAACCCACTGAAAATATTTATTGCATCTGTACTGAACATGTACAGACTTCTTTTCTGTTCTTATTCCCTAAACAATAGAATATAACAACTATTTACATAGCAATTACATTGGTACGTATGAAGAATAATCTACCGACAATTTAAAGATTATGGGAGGATGTGCATAGGTTATGTGCAAATACTGTGCTATTTTATATAAGTAACTTGAACATCTGCAGATTTTGGTACCTTGAGGGGGACTGGTTCCAGGATACCTTAGGACAACAGTAACCTTTGACTAGAGTGAGCAGGTTGCATACCTTACTTTTCCTATTCCTACTGCTTTTTCTTCTCAGAATCCTGTATCAGATGATTGGATTTTTTTTTTTAAGTACATTCACTGGGATGCCCTCCACAACCCAGCCGGCTGACTGCCTTCCCCGAGGCCTTCCCCGTCCTGCATGCCAGGCTCCAGCTGTCAGCCCAGCAGGGTGCAGCCTGGGCCCTGCTCTGGTGTGGCTGGTGGCCCGCGGGCAGAGTGCTTCTGCTGTCTCGACCCTGAGCAGATGCAGGCTGGGTGCTCGTGGTTTGCTCTCTGGGGTTTTAAAGGGGAAAAAGGCAGCTGAGAAATTCAGTGGCTTCTCTGAAATAGCTGCAGGCTGACACAGCACTTGGGTTTTACAGCAACAAAAGGTCATGCAATTTCTTAGATCCTTATTGGGAAAAAAATAGCAAACATTAGGAGCAATGGCCGGGTGTGGTGGCACACACGCCTGTAATCCCTCGGGATTACAGCACTTGGGAGGTTGAGGCAGGCAGATCACTGTGAGTTAGACCAGCCTGGGCTACGTAGTGAGTTCCTGGTCAGTCTCAACTACATAGCGAGAACCTGTCTCAAAAAAAAAAAAAGAAAAACCAAACATTAGGAGTGAATGGGTGGGAAAGGGAGCATATGTTAGAATGAGAACTCACTAACCCACGAAGATCACATACACGGCCATAATACATGTTTTATTTATTTATTTATGGTACCTGGGATCAAACTCAAGACCTTGTGCTTGCGAGACAGGCGGCGGAACCACTGAGCCAAATCCCCAGCCCTAATACATATTTTTACTAGCAGTGTGATGCCTTTCTACGGGGTATCCAGGAGTTTAGGAGCACAATTTTCTTAAGATGACAAATGCCCTTGGCTACATTATGTACATTGACCTGTGTTTGTAGACTTTGGGGGGGCACTCTTTATAATTTTGCCTCTATTTTGCTAGCTGCTTAATTTTGATAACCTTTTCCTATAACATTATTATTATTGTTGTTGTTGTTGTTGTTGTTGTTGTTGTTGTTTTAGGGGGGAGGGTTGAGACAGGGTCTCACTATGTAGTTGAGACTGACCTGGAACTCACTATGTAGCAGTTGTTGTTGTTGTTGTTGTTGTTGTTGTTGTTGTTTTGGGGGGAGGGTTGAGACAGGGTCTCACTATGTAGTTGAGACTGACCTGGAACTCACTATGTAGCCCAGGCTGGTCTTGAACTCACAGTGATCCTCTTGCCTCAGCCTCCCAAGTGCTGGGATTATAGGCGTGTGCCACCATGCTCGGCTGTAACAATTATTTTGAAA